ACGGACGGCCTACCACTTGATCCCAATGATGAAGATGCCGGGGGTGGTACGAACCCCTTCGTCCTGGGCGTCGTATTGAAGTAATCGTCAATCGACGTTTGGTGTATGACGGGTCCCCGACGGCTGTCGCCAGCGTTCGTTGCGAGATCTTCCTCCTCTTCCTCATCATTTGTAACGAGTTCATCGTCGCCGTCTGCATCTGTTTGTTGATTCTCCTCCTCCTTGGCTTTAGCCGCTGCGACAATATTCCGGAAGAAGGAGCCGATGGCAGGCTGTGAGACGAACTCTGCTGGGTCGCTAGCCGCAGATCTGACATCTGATATCTGACGAGATCTCTGTGTCCGCAGTTCTCTAGAGAGGCTGAGCCTTCTATGCCAATCTGGCCGAGCACTTGTGCTTCCGTTCTCCAGGGTCGGCCACTGAGAAAGCTGGAGATGAGGGGAGGGTTCTTCCTCGTCGTTACGGTCCATCCAGTTTCGGACCGCATGCTGGGTCTTCTTTCTCTCGTTCCGCCTTTGGTTCCGCAGAGTCGCAAGACCAGGACCTCGTCGGAAGACCTCCTCCAAAGCATGATCCTTCTGGTAGCCAGTGATGGATTCTTCGCGAACGCGCACATTGGGGCTGAAAAGAGCAGATCGGCTTGCCGGGTCTGCAAAGGAAATTGTCCGATCCCGGCCGTGGTGGTGGTGATTTTCGACAAGATCCGTCGGCTCGTACATTGACGGGGCGAGCCAGTATTTTTCGTACAGGAAGATGAAGAACAGAAGAGGGAAGTGCGTGACCTTGATGATTGTTCTGTTCAGTCTGACGAAATGCTTCAGTGGCATGCAGTATCGCAAAGGCATCAACAGCCACGCGAAGATGTTCCCTGGCGCAACGTAGGAAAAGAGCGCGTCATTCTTGACCATGGAGATTGTATTGATTGCAAAGAGGAATCTGGATTTTGTTAGAAGCGTTTCTTTCAACGAGTCGCGTCTAATTACTCACTGATGCTCTTCTTTGGCATTCGAGGCAATCTTCATGAATGAGTTGGTCAAGACCGTGATGAGAATCGTGCTGGCTTTGTTAGATAGAGCCCGTAGCTAGAGACAGACTTGACTTACACAATGACGAAGTGACACATGATGAGGAAGAAGCCCATGAGGCCCCTTTCGAGCCAGTTGTATCCTGGCCACAGTTCCCAAGCAGCCGGGGTGAAGCCCATAAGCAGCTGGAAGATCCGGAAGGCGATATCAGCAGCATTATTATTACCGTCGGCCAGAGTGAAGAAGACAAAGAAGCCGCTGCACGAGATGAGAATCAAGACAGTGACGGCTACAAGGTCAACAGCCATCAAGCGAAACGCAATCAGCAGTTGTGAGAAATACTGATAATGGTCCAGCACGCTGAAGATGCGGGGCAGCAACAAGATGGCATTCGCCGCGAGAACATCGTAGGCAGAGTCATTCCAGTGCTTTGCGTCCACGAGGAAGACCCCATAGACACGCATGAAGTAGTAGACGATCAACAGGAGAAGGATTCCCAAATCGAAAGCGTTCCAGAAGCTCATGATGTAAAGCGAGAACCCCTGTTCGTTGAACCCAACAAGCTCATCCAGCATGAAACCGGCACTCCAAAACCAGAATATCAACTCGAGCGAGCTGATCCGCGCTGCACGTTGGGCCAAGACAGCAAGAAACAGGCCGATGAGAACGAGAAGTGACAGCGTCGAGAGAAAGAACCTATAGCGTGGTACGCGAAGTCGTGAGAGCTTAAAGAGGGAAGCCTGGCGAGGATCATAGAGAACCACACTCCTTCTTCCCGGTACTGATGGCTGCTGGCCCTCCTTTTGGCTGTTGCCGCCAAGCAGCGGCGTTCTTGAATCGGGCTTACCCTGACCACCAGGCGAAGAAGGGGGCTCTCTGTGCAAGCTGTCTGCAGACGAGTAAAAGCTGATGGCACCGTTCCAGATAGCCTCCAGTTGCTGCACCACCAGAGGGTGTGCGAGGAAGTGCTTGGCAGAAGCACGAATAGCAACCTCGAGTGTCGAAGTCCGGGCCGCGGTAAGGCGAGCCTTGGTTCTTGGGTCCGATTTCGGTGCATTTGCTGGCTGGGCGCCGGGAAGGCCCTGGAGGGGGTAAAAATCGTAGGATAGAGCGTCGATCAGCTCGCGGGTGTTATACTCTTTCAGGAGCTTCAGAGCCAACAATTCGCAAACCAGAGCCCTGGTAGAGCTGTTTCCAGCATTCCCTGGGTACATCTGGGCCTCCTTATTGAACTGCAGGCAGTTTGCCATGAGGCAGTATAGGGTGGCGCGGTTGAACTGCTGAGTCCTGATCTGCTGTTGCATAGGCTTGACCAGGAACTGGGAGACTTGGGGGGAGCGTATTTGGTCCCATGATAACGTCGTTTCGGTACGGGTCTGAACAATAATACGAATCGCGTGGGTAATGCTATAGATGGGTAAGGAATCTGTAGGCTTGCGGTCAGCTTGAGGTCACAAGTTTATAGGGGTAGCCCATGCGGGGCCTCTGGTTGTCTTGTACCGAGATATGTTTCTGAGAAGAGAGGAAGAACAGGCAAGGAGCGCTGGACGCGATCCTCGTCGTCGACGTTGTCGTGATCGTCCCCTGACTGGCCTAGGCCGTCGTCCTCCTCGTCCTCGTCCTCCTCCTCTTCGTCGTCATCTTCGGCCTCAGTGAAGTCTCCGGTTGCGCGTCGTGGTGGTTCGCCAACGTAGTGGCGGTAGGCAGGGCCAGGGGAAGGGGATTGCCTATCGTGAAATCGGTCGACGCGACGGCTGCGATTGTTCTGCTTGGGTCGAAGCAGAGAGGAAAACATTGTCTAGTGGGGATGAGATATAGCCCGCCGCCTTATGCTATCGTGTCCTACGGCGCCATAGAGGAAGGGTAGGAGACGATTCGAGAGTGCGCGGGAAGGAGAAGGGGTGGGGGGGGTTCGTTTTCGCGTAAACACAGGAGTTCGTTTCGAGTCGGTTTGCGGTAATCCTCAAGGAATACGTAAAAGGGCGAGAGAAAAAGAAGTCGTTGGGAGCAACACCAGGCCAAAGCACGGCGAGGAGGGTAAGGAAATAGGAAGTGAAGTCAGGTCGGAATAGGTTGGCCGAGCACAATGGTAAATAAGAAAGTGCTGGACAGACAGGTTGGTAGGCCAGTAGGATTCCCCGTGGTCGAGACGCAGAAATCGATGCAGTGTTTTGTGGGGAAGCTGGCCAAGAGCCTTTCTTCTGGACCAGGAAGAGGGATGTACAGTAAGACCAAGTGACAAGGAGCAAAGAGACTGATCCTTGGAAAGCAACGAGAGTAAAAGGGACGTGGGCGAGTGTTAGGAAGAGACACGGGCAAGCAACAGGCGCGTGGAGCGCGGATCGAGATTCTTACAAGGACGATGCGATTTTTAGCGTAGTCGGACAGGTAGAGTGCTAAAAGGCGAGTGATACTGCATGAGGCAGTCGACGCCGGTAGGGGACGGGAAGGCAAGGAACAGGCGAGTAACAGGATGCCCGTCAGGTATCCGTTCAGAGTAAGGTATGGATCTATGGATGGGATGATGTTCACCTCCTGTCTAGGTATGTATGTATATATTTCCAAGTATCTGTATGCACGTATACTTTGAATCGGTAAGGTATGGGACGTATCCGTACATAGTACTCCGTACCTATGTACGTAGGTATGCACCCCAGCTGCAAATGCAGGCCAGAAGCGAAGCACCTCAAAGCAAGATGGTCTGCATCGATGACCTCTTGCAACGAGGAAATCATAGCCGGTGACGATAGCAACAGAGGGGAGAGACTGCGATAAGGAGTCTGGGGTTTAGCCATTCAAGACCGTTTACCACCCACCATCCGATGTCTTGTCCACACAGCCTAACCAACTTCCTTAGCAACGAACAACCGAACATGCTGCACACAAGGAAAGGAAACGCGGCGCGCCACTGGGGCGAGTGGAGATGCAGCGTCGCGAAATGTCGTGGTTGTCGTTCGCATCGTGGCAGGCTGGGCTTGCTCTTCCAAGTTCCAAGGATCAAATGGAAGGGAACAAGAGTGACCACGGGCAGTTGGCAGTGATGGAGTGAGTAAACGGGGCATCCAAGATCCAGAGCTTCTCGCCTGGCACGCCTGGGCCGCTCGAGAGTCGGGAATGGGCTAGCGCAAGATCCCTGGGCGTGGGAAGTTGGCCTCTAAAAAGTGGGGGGTTCCAACGCTGCCAATGCGCCACAATGGAAAGTGCGTCAGGCAAGATGCGCCCACCTCTGCCTGCCTCTTTCTCCTAGGTACTTGACTTGCTGCTTCCTGCTTCACTTCAACTTGCAAGAGTGTCCTGGTCAATGGTCAATTGGAAAAAGCACTGGAGACCGGAGTGGGAAAACTGGAGGCAGGACCGAAATCCAATGGAAACTTCCTGAGGCTGCGGCTGCAAGTGCTCCCTCATCCTAGCACATACATCCCAGAACTTCATGATGCCCACGTCCACATTCACGCATCGCCCCAGCATCGCAAATGGGTACGCACCGGGGCCAGTCCGCTCTGCGAAATGACACAATCAAAAAAAGGCCCGGGGGAGCTCCATGCCTGTGTCGACATTCGTTTGCTACCCTGGAAGCCGATCCATCGTCCAGCCTAGACGTTTTAACGCCAAACTACCTCCCTAGCACGAGTACGTAAACCGCCCGATTCTTTGCAGGTCTTTACAGGTCTTTGCAAGACTCCCGTCGCATCAACTTACCAACTACTAATTGGCTTTGGTGCAGCCAGGCGTGTTTTGCTATCAAAACAACAAAGGGCAAGGGCGAAAAAGGGATACATATTACCGAGTCTCCGAATCAAAACCCCCAGTATCCGTGTCCATGCCATACCGGCATACTCTGTAATACACCGTACATGCATGCTAATAACGTGTCAGTTAAGCCACATTTCTGCAAAGGCACGCACATACACGAGAAAAGTGAAGACCGACAACGACGACGACATCAGATGAAAAACGGGCGAGACATGCAACCGCATGACTTTGTTAGGACGAAAAAGAAGGAGACCCCGACACACAAGCGCCAAACACTCTGAAGACCCGACGCACTCAGACACCCGTCCCCGTCCCGCTCTGTCAGACGAGAGACATTCGACGCCAGACACACAGGTACAGGTGCCTGCGTCTGCCTCTCGTGCCTCTGCATCCACGACTGTATCTGCGGCTTCCTCCCCGACGTCGTCCGGATCAACATCCGTAGCCTCCTTTTTCTCCCAGTATCCATTATGGTTTTCTCTACAAAAACCGGCAGGCTATGTAATTACACTCGGCAGCCAAGGGGCGAGAATGAGAAGGGGATCGGAGAAAAAGACGTACCAAGCAAACCCAAGAGTTGCCGAAGCTGCCATTCAATGCGAGGACCAATTTCAAAAATTCGACCTGGCAGATGGGCTGCATTCGCGGCCGCGCATCGTCACTTGACATGCGTAACGCACGATGCTTGGATACTGACTGGCCTGGGCGGCTGGGCCCTTGTCATGGGTCGATTCGCGGCTCTCCTCCGTTGCTTTCCAAAATTGAATCACAACGCCTCACTCGGCATCCTCAGTTCAAGACAGTCACAAAACCAACGCGACATGTCTCTCCACCGCTAGCCTCAAAACTAGCACAGTTCGCAGGAGAAACAGGGCGAGTCGGTCAGAAACCAGTGAAGCAAACCTCACCTCAAGAGCCCCAGAGTCGCAACAGTGAAGCTTGAGTTGCATCCTCCAGCTCCAAGAGTTCAAGCCCCCCACAGGATCAGCAGCACACCTCAAGCCATTCCCTCGCTTGATTGGCCTACGGGGGCCGTCACCGCCATTGGCATCCCACACACACGGATGCACAGATGGCACCTGTTCTGGCCCAGGGTGTGACGCTGCATTTGGGGGACACCGCCGGGATTTTGCTCTCGACGGGCCCCTGCTTCCACACCATTGTCGTTTCTACTCGATGCTACTCCTCCAGTCCTTTCTTCTCGTTGTGGTGTCAATCCCGCCTTCAAAGAACGGGAAGGGAGTGCTTCCCGTTTGCGCTGTTTTGGTTCCCGAGAGCGATCAGAGGCACAGCTACTCGAGTTGAAGTTGAGGCAGGCGCACACACGCACATTTGGCTCAAGAACAAAGTACGCGTGACAAGACTCAACGTACCTTCACACAGCTCGCACTTACACAAGGTTGCCGGAATCCTTCTGGAGAGAATGAGCTGGTTGGTGTGCTTCTTCTCATCAACTCGTCCAAGCGATGCACGGAATCTCAGCAGACGCCCGTCATGCCAGGTTACATTGAGACCAACACGGCCATCGGCGATTTATGTCGATTCAGATCTCGAATAGATATTACAGGGGAGAGGCCGCCATACCCAAGCCAGCATCGCGAACTCTATGCGTTCCACCAACTGACCACACCGCAGCGCAAATCTGCAGGCCCGGCAACAGCAAATTTCGCAAATTCCCTCGCATTGCACAAGCCTCACGAGTCAAGCCTCCACCTTGCCGGCCTGTGTTCTTGCTCCCATTTTTGGACTCTTTCGACCTTTTAAGTGCCAACTGGCTTAGCCAAGCATTCACGCTCCAGGCTCTTCCGAGACTAGTAAGCTTCCCTGCTTACAGCTACTGCGTAGTAAGCTGTCCTGCTTATTCGCAAAGCTAGTAAGCTGTCCTGCTTGGGGAGCCGCCCTGTCAGAGATGATGGGCTGGGTGAGATCCGTGGGGTTCATTAGAAGCGTCCAGTGGAATGTCCTCTTCCGTCACTTGACCTGCCTAGGTACTCACGCTACTACACTCAGTTGCCGTTTGTTTCAACTACTTAGTGAGAATATCACATTCCGATCAAGCAGTATAAGAGACAAGTATGGCACGTGCAAGTACGTCAAGTCATCCGCATTATCCGTTCCTTAATCCAAGGTGCCGAGAGTTTCTCCAAAGATGGTATCTGATGAGGGGCTGGACTCGAATTGGCGCCGTGTAAAACGCAGAGCATGGGTTTAAACCCCACCGTTTTTTTTTTTTTTTTTGTCGCGACAGCTTATTTACTCATTGAGGCGAGATACATGTGCGTAATACTCTACCAGTGGCTATTGCCAATCTGGATTTTCTCACGGCGAATTTTCAAGCATAGAACTAGGGTGTGATTATTCAGAGTGAAACTTTTTGGTAAGCAAGGTATTCAGACATTGCGAGGTCTCGATGAATCCAAAGCATTTTCCAGTCCGGGGGTTGGTTGTTGCCCCAGCTGCCCATACCTACCCCAAATCGAGAGGAATGCCCCGCCAAAAACTCAGCACCGGCATCGGCGATGGCCAGGTGAAAACAGGTGAGGGCTGTTCTCACCTTGCCCGGTGTGCGCAGGTCAAAATCGGATTTTCCACTCATGGTCAATAACATGGCAGTGAATTCGTAGTAAGCTTACGAGCCAGCACACACCTCAATGCTTCAAAAGAGCCACGGCTACTAAACGCTTACATACAAGCCCAAGACCCAAGGTATGCTCTCGAAGTAGATCACCACATCGATCGCAAGGTATCGATTTGCGAGGTTATTTGGGGGACGTACTATTGCGAGTAGCCTGGTCCATTCCAATCGTAGACTCGGCCAATTTTGGAAGTGATTCACAAGCGGCCGGTCCACTCGTGGCCAGCCACCGTTCTCTCACAGCTTTAGGTTCTTACCACTGGCCACTCAAGCTAGGTGAATTTGAGGTGAGGAAAGAAATTTCTGCAGGGACAAGACTGACAAAATTCTGCAACCTCAGCCATCCGGGCGGGCTGTTGGTGGCATTGGTGAATTTTGGTGCTGGTGACGCGGGGCTAATTCCCCCGCCCTATGGCTAGAAGCGGCAATGAACCAAACCTACCGCCATTTTCTGCCACTTTCTGCCCACTTGGTAGATGGCGCTAGACCTTTGATAACTGACCGCCTGCGATTTCGGTGAAGCACAAGCCGTATTTTTTCAGTTGCAGATCTGTGTCAACGTAGCCGGGACTCCACCGTCCAGGGATTGTGCCTGTATCATTGGTCAATCCACTCTTAAATTCCTCCCCCAGCGAGGGAAGGCCCTGAGCATGGAGGAGGGGGGTAACCAGATGAATTTTTTTTTTTCTCACTGTCAGAGCAAGGTAAAAGTCTTTGGGTCCTGCCGTTTGGCTCTTCTTCTCTTCCTTCTCTCTTTTTCCTTTTTTCTTTCTCCGACAATGGTTGTCTAGAAACTCGCATAACTTCCCCAAGATCTATCGTGGCAGATGATCGCTGGGAAGCTCCAGAACCAACCTACGAGACTCTTTTGACGAGCTCGCTGCTGTCACTTTCTCTAGCACTTCTTTCTTTCACATCGTTGTTGCTTTAGACCCTCTTCCCTTTGAGAGTTTCTTCACCCGTCAATTCTCTCTGTGCCCCGCATCACCCAGAAGAAACTCCTCCTTCCACAACCGAAAATGTCGCCCACCGTCTACCCCCCGGCTGCGGCCCGCATTGTCGGCTCCGATGACGAGGGCCTCATGGCTCTGGAGCTGCCCGATGGCACCGTCTACCAGGGTTACAGCTTCGGTGCCCAGAAGAGCATCGCCGGAGAGCTCGTTTTCCAGACCGGAATGGTGGGGTATCCGGAGTCGGTGACAGACCCCTCGTACCGTGGCCAGATCCTGGTTATCACCTTCCCTCTGGTTGGCAACTATGGTGTCCCTTCGCGGGAGACCGTTGACGAGCTCCTGGGCGACCTGCCCGCTCACTTCGAGTCGTCCCAGATTCACATCGCCGGTCTCGTCGCCCACTCCTACTCGGGCGAGGACTACTCCCACTTCTTGGCAGAGTCATCACTCGGTACCTGGCTCAAGGAGCAGGGCGTCCCCGCCATCTACGGCGTTGACACCAGACAACTCACAAAGTACCTGAGGTCACAGGGCAGCACCCTCGGCCGCTTGTTGTTGCAAAAGAAGAACCTGACCAACGGCACCGCCAACGGTCACGTCAATGGTGTTGCGTCTTTCTCCATTGAGGACTTCCAGGCCGTCGACTGGGTGAACCCCAACGAGAAGAACCTCGTAGCTGAGGGTGAGTTCCATCAACAGCTCTCTACTTCGACTTTGACTGACTCTCTATTCTAGTCTCAATCAAGGCTCCCAAGCTGTACAAGCCTCCTTCGAGCGTTGCCGTTAAGAAGCACCCCTCCGGCCGACCTATCCGCGTCCTGTGCTTGGATGTCGGTATGAAGTACAACCAGCTGAGGTGCTTCCTCAAGCGCGGTGTCGAGGTCCTGGTCTGCCCCTGGGACCACGATCTGGTCAAGCAGGCCGGCGAAGAGTACGATGGTCTCTTCCTCTCCAACGGTCCCGGTGACCCGGCCATGCTGGAGAAGACCGTCAAGAACATCCAGGCTGCCATGGACAAGACCAAGACTCCCGTCTTTGGTATTTGCTTGGGACACCAGCTGCTCGCCCGTGCCTCCGGTGCCAGCACCGAGAAGATGAAGTTCGGCAACAGAGGCCACAACATCCCCTGCACAAGCATGATCTCCGGAAAGTGCCACATCACCTCCCAGAACCACGGTTTCGCCGTCGACTCAAAGTCTCTGACGGCTGACTGGAGGGAGCTTTTCGTCAATGCCAACGACGGCAGCAACGAGGGTATTGCCCATCTGTCCAAGCCTTACTTCAGTGTGCAGTTCCACCCCGAGAGCACACCCGGTCCTCGCGACACCGAGTACCTCTTTGATGTCTTCATTAGCACCATTGAGGAGTGCGCCGCCGACCCCAAGGCGCTCAACGCCCCGGTCAAGTTCCCCGGTGGCACCATCGAGGAGAACGAGCGTCTTCACCCCCGCGTCCACCCCCGCAAGGTCCTCATTCTGGGCAGTGGTGGTCTCAGTATTGGACAGGCCGGAGAGTTCGACTACTCTGGCTCCCAGGCCATCAAGGCTCTCAAAGAGGAGGGTATCTACACCGTTCTCATCAACCCCAACATTGCGACGATTCAGACCTCCAAGGGTCTTGCCGACAAGGTGTACTTTCTTCCCGTCAACGCAGAGTTCGTCCGCAAGGTCATCCAGTACGAGAGACCCGATGCCATCTACGTCACCTTTGGTGGACAGACTGCTCTGTCAGTCGGTATCCAGCTGAAGGACGAGTTCGAGGAGCTCGGTGTCCAGGTCCTTGGTACCCCCATTGATACCATCATCACCACTGAGGATCGTGAGCTCTTTGCTCGCAGCATGGACTCCATTGGCGAGAAGTGCGCCAAGTCTGCTTCTGCAAGCAACATTGACGAGGCCATGTCTTGTGTCAAGGACATTGGCTTCCCCGTCATTGTCAGAGCCGCCTACGCTCTTGGAGGTCTCGGCAGTGGTTTCGCCAACAACGAGGCCGAGCTCATGGATCTCTGCAATAAGGCCTTCGCCGCCAGTCCCCAAGTGCTTATCGAGCGCAGTATGAAGGGCTGGAAGGAGATCGAG